ACGAGCCCAACATGTCCGCCGCGATGATGACGCCGCCAGTGAACTTCACGCCAAGCACCGACGTCCCGGTTACCATGGGGTTCCTGCACAGAGGCCGAGAGAGAGAGAGAGGGTTAAGATCTCACCAGTGTTTCGCTGATGTTGTTATGAACACAATGAAATAAGGCTGTAGCTGCCGCTGAGGTCACCTCATCTGTACATTACATTTATTCATTTAGCTGACGCTTTTATCCAAAGCGACTTACAGCTGCTATACATGTCAGAGGTCACACGCCTCTGGAGCAACGAGGGGTTAAGTGTCTTGCTCAGGGACACGATGGTGGACGGGTTGTCTTGTTCATTGTGCCATCACCGTTCATTTGTATACTCGGTATGTGGCTGAATGACAATAAAACAAAGTTGAAGTTTCGTTTTCTTCTGGAGATTTTAAAGTCCAGAGGAAGAGCTTACCGGAAGATGAAACTCAGGCTTCATCCTCACTCCTACGTTTAAAACTCAGACCTTCTGCTACGTTTAGACTAAAACGGCAAATCCGACCACCTAAAACGTTGAAGTCTGAAACAGCCGCCGACCCCGGTCTGGTTTTAAACTCCGGGGTGGCGTGTTAGTGCTGACAGGTGAAATCGATGAGGCTCACGTTGGGCTTCCTGATTGGCTCCTATCAGTTAAAATATTCTGTACTGTGGAAATAACACTTCTACACTCCCAGTCTGTTTCCCGCCGCCACAGCCTCTTTGTCGTCCCGTGTTCCTCTCAGTAACAGTTCCACCTCGCTGTCGGTCCACGCAGAGAAATCTCCGCTGTGGTTCTTCACCGTCGCTGCTCTTCGTTCGTCTCTAGTAGAACTTTCCTCTTTAGCCGAATCTTCTACAGCTGCGAGGCAGACTTCCTGTTTACACCGGCTCGCACGTGCCCAGTGTACGTGAACGGCCACGTGATGTCCATTTTCAGTCATTTTAAAATAGCTAAAACAGAAACCTAGTGAAGCTGAAAAAGCTACAGCTAATGTTTGCGTCCTGGCTGGAAGCAAAATCTGATAAATCACTATATTACACAATGAAGGAAGAACATACAAGTAAGTTTTGACAGCTCACCTGGATTACGTCACTGATCAAGATCCAGGTAATATAAATAAAGTGAACACGATGCTTTTCATTGTTGTTTGCAGTAAAATTATCAGAACTAAACAACCACGGAGCACAAAACAGATTAACCAACTCATTTTGTTGCGTTGTTAAAATAACATTTATTAAACTAAGCTAGAACATAATAGTGAAGAAATATAGTTAAGAAACTAAGAACATAATAGTGAAAGATAAAAATAACGGCTGATAACGTTAAACAGCAGGAGTTCAGCGGCTAGCTAACACGGCTAACAGTTAGTCAGCAAAACTAAACAAACTGAATGATTTCCGTTATTAGAGATCGATATGAACTCGTCCTTAATGTTTAGGTTAGTTAAATAACTCGTAGATCATCGACACTGAGCTGTAAAAGCGTTAAACCGGTTCTGAACTAACAGTTAGCTTAGCATCAGTTAGCTCCATGATGATGCAGCACCGCAAACCGAAACCGACGGCGGAGGTTCGGCTTGAATTAACGGGGAAGAGTCGCGGTTCTGTCGGAGCGGGTCACTCACAGTGTGTGTCGGACCGGCCCGCATGATGTGCCGGGTCCGCTGCTGCTGCCGCCGCCGCCGGAGAGGGAGTAGAACTGTCCGGGCTTCGGTCCGTTCTCCCAGAAACTCATCTTCGTTCCGCACGACTCCATGTTGGAAATACACGCAGGAAGTGACGACACGGCGTCTTCTTGTTCAAGCGGTTTGACGTCACGGAGCGGCGCTTCACCGCCGCCTGCAGGTGGATCACGTGTTACTGTTTCATTTATTTATTTTATTTCAATTTTTAATATATATATTTTTTTTTAACACACAAACAACTTTTACTGTTTAATTTTATTTAAATATTTAATAGATTTTTATTTTTTTTAACACACACGCTTACTGATTTATTTATTTACTTTTATTTTTAATACTTATTTTTACGGAATTTTTATATTTTATATATATATATATAAATTTTATTTTGTATTAACACACAAACACAACTTTTACTGTTTTATTTATTTACTTTTATTTTTAATATTTATTTTTACAGAATCTTTATATTTGATATATATAATATTTATTATTATTAACACACACAAACACAGTTGTGTTTTTGTTGTTTTATTTACTTATTTTAATATATTATTTTCATTTTCTAACACACACACACACACACACACACACACACTGTTACTGTTTTAATTATTTACTTTTATTTTTAATATTTATTTATTTTTATAGTTTATATATTTTTTATTTATTTTTATTAACATACACAAACACAACTTTTACTGTTTTATTTGCTTATTTAATGAAATGTATGAAATTAATTGTTCTTATGTAATTTACATGTAGCTTTGGCAATACTGTTGTACATTCATGCCAATAAAGCTGTACATTTTAAGGTGAAGTCAGCTAAAATGGGCCACTGTTTGGTATGACTAATAAGCCCATCTAATAAGCTATGCATAGCATTGCTATTTTGAAAAGAATCTAAGTTTCTTTACAAATTTAAACTATTTTTATTTGAAAGAGCCTGGAAAAAACATCTTCCATAAACATTTTGCTTTGTTGGTAAGGCTACTTCTACTTGCTTTAGGTAGGCAGGTTTATTGCCACAATATAAGAAGTTGTAGAGTGAAATTGCGTTTTGTAACTCCCTTCTGCTACTCAGCAGACAATAAAAAAATTAAAATAAACAATCAGTGGAGCAGTGCTGAGGATGAATGAGAGTTTAAGAGTCTGATAGCTTGGTGGAAAAGCTGCTCTGCAGTCTGGTGGTGCGGCAGAAGAAACTTCTAGATCTCTAGAGCAGTTTTAATCACCTGCTGCAGAGTCCTGGGCCGTGCACATCCCATGTTAGTGATGTTTCCAGTCAGGATGCTTTCTGTTGCTCCTCTGTGAAAGCTGACAAGAACTTGGCGTGAGAATTTAGCGAAATACAGCTGAGCTTTCTTCACCAGCGTGGAGATGTGAGACGACCACGTCAGGTTCTCTGTGATGCTGATTCCCAGGAACCTGAAACTGTTCACCTGCTCCACCTCAGCTCCACTGATGGAGACAGGAGTCTTTATCTCCTTCTTCCTGAAATCAACAATCAGCAGCTTGTTCTCTGAGCACCACTCTGCAAGATTAGGAATTCCCTCCCGACATGAAGTCTCATCGTTGTTTGAAATTGTTGGTGTCGTCCACAAATTTCACAGCAGAGTTCTCTCCATGTCGAGGGATGCAGTCGTGGTGTACAGCGTGAACAGGAGGGGCGGAGTAAACAGCCCTGGGGGGCTCCGGTGTGGAGCACTGGAGTGGAGGACGAGAGTCCACGAATCTGAACTGACTGGGGTCTGTTTGTGAGGAAGTCCAGTTTCCAGTTGCAGAGTGTTGTGTTTAAACCAGAGTGCTGAGTTTGCCGATCAGCTTCATGGGGAGATTGTGTTGAACTCTGAGCTGAAATCTGTTGTTCTTTATGTGCTGAATATCGCCGTCAGCGGTGAGGAGTGAAATTTACTATGTCGAGCTCATTTTCCACAGGATTTCTCTGATGTACTTCATGTAGGCTGTGCCCCGCCCACTACAGAAATCTCAGAGCGCCATAAAGCTCCAACCTTATTTAGCCCATTTATCTGACTTCACCCTACTTGTAGTTTTCTTGAGTATTTCCATTTGATTGATGTAGGTAGCAGAATTGGTTAGTTTAGAGTAAGACGCCCCCCCCCCCTAAGCTCAGTGTCTATTGGCTGACATATAAAAGAACATTTCATTGGGTTTTTTGTATCTTGAAGAAGCTTATATGCTTCTGTATTAATAAAATGAATATACACAGTTTAGCATGGGGTAAAATCCCTTTAATAGGTGCAAATGAGAGATTTAATTTAACTACAAGTAGCTGGTTAAATGCACGGGATTATGTGACAGACATATGTTGTGTTATGGTATCAGCTTTCCCATCATTTATTTGTCAGACTTTTAAAAAGTGAGGTTGCTGGAACTTCATTAGCAGAAAGTCTGAGGTGAAATAAATGTTAGCCAGCCGGCTATATGAGCATAAGTGAACTTATAACCTCAGACTTTCTGACAGTGAAGTTGGTAGCTGGTTAAGGGGCTGAGTGTCTAAATAACATCTAACTTACAAACGATCAACCATAAACTTTGGTACAGTTTGGTACATCTCAGCCCGTTGGATGGGGGGTGTCTCGCCCCGAACATACTAACCTTGTATTTTACTACTTGCCGACAACCAACTTTTACTATTCTATGTTGTTACTATATAATTATGTAAGAGAAATGACCCTTTAATCAGTCTTCTGAAATAAAGAATTCAATCCAGACGTCTTTAAGGGTTTTATTTTCTGCAGCCACTGATTCTCCTTCACATTGTTCCAGAGGTTTCGTTCTAGCCTCCTGCTGTAGCCGTCCTTGTCCTGCTGAATCCTCGTCTCTGAAGACATGACAAACCGACTCCAGCGGTTCGTCATGTTCACAGGGAGAGAATGGGAAACTGGGACAAGAAGAAACTGTGTCCAGAATTTCCTAAGGTTGCTGATCGACACACATTTTAGGGTTGTTTTAGATTAGATTAGTTAGTTAGATTAGTTGTATTATTTAGTTGTTTTAAATTGCATTGAATGATTTGTTATTGTGCAAATAAACCTCAAAGCATTTTGTTGGTTAACATTTCTTGGTTCAAGCAACTTTTTCAGAAAGGTTATGCTTTTAGAAAGTGTGGACGTGTCCCCAGCGTCCTCAGTGTAAATTAACTCCATTTTCTCACTGTAAAAACGGTTCAGAGCACTCGGGCAAAGAGAAGTAGAAGCAAAGATGGTTTGATTAAAATGGAGATAATCTGAGGAAAGCAGAGCCATCATTTTTTTTTCTGACAAAGAATCACACATCCAGGTTTTAGTTTTTTCTTTGCTTTCATTTTATTTGTGAACGACATTTATGATACACGTTGACACTCGTTTGCTCCAACATCTTCTCTCAGGACTGTTCAGGCTCCACCGACGGAGAAGGTTTCTTATGACAATAATCTGTGAGGAGACAAGAAAATAATTTACATGTTTTATATTTAAAAACTTCATTTTTTATTAAGCCTTTTTGGGGTTGTGCTCTTTTCTGAACATATTTAACTTTATTGAACATCTGATTGGCTCATGAAGACCACCAAACGTTTTGATCGTGTGTCTGCTGTTGTTGGTAAATGTCTGTTCATGAGCAATTTAAAGTTTTATACCAAGGTTTGGACAGCAGGTGGCACCAGCTTACTGGAATATCCAACTGGGGCTCATCTACTTAGTCGGCCAGGTGCAATCAGGCACAGGTGGTTTTGACCTGGCTGTTTGTTTGTGTAATGTGTCCCACCTGTGGGTGATCTCCCTGGCTGCAGCCGAATAGTGTTATTTGCTTCAGAAGGTTCTAACTACGTGAAATAACCTGGAAGTATTTCAGTGGCAGCCGTGATAAGAGCTGGGCCGAGTTCAGCGCCGACAAAACGTAGCAAAACGTTTTTCTCAACGTAAACAGTGGTGTCTCGAACGCCCTGTTGTTGCATTTTCCTTTCCTTTTAACACCGTTGTGTTAACAAACTTATCGCAGCTGTTCGGGTGACACCTGAGACACGCCCACCAAACAGAAGAAAACATACCTCGAAGCCCGCTGAGCAATGTTGCACAACGTTGCAAGGAAACAGAAAATGTCGAAAATATTGCAAACGTTTTGAGATTGAACTCGCCCCAGGTCAAATTCTCTAAAAGCTCAGGAACGGTGCTTCGGGGCTTCCTTTCTTCAGCATAGGGTACACTGGACCATCCTTTACCAATGGAAAGGAGATAATGCAGTCCCACAATTCCTTGAGGCAGCAATGGTTAAAGCTACGCAGCGTTGTAGTTTTACCATGGGAGTGCCACGTTAAAGAGGTGGTATTCTGCTTTTTGGCTTTTTCCCTCTCCTTTGTTGAGTTATATTCCTTTTTTGTGCTGTAACAGGTTTGCAAAGTGAAAAAGCCCAAAGTGAGTTCCCATCTCCCTCAGAAAACTCTGCTCTGAACTGAAAACAGCTCGTTTGGAGTCCAGCCGCTTCCCTTTCATCCTTCAACCATGTAAACCTGTTCTGGTACAACCTCTAAATAAGATTATGAACCTGAAAATGAGCAGAATAATGTTCAGTTTCACATCCAGTTAGGAGGAGGAATCTTGAAGCGTAATGAATTTCTAGTAAATGTCATCATCATGAGAAAATACTGTGCACTAACAATGAGTTTCATCACCACGATCACACCACATGAAACGTGAAATCAATGTAGGCAGCCTTGGATGACCTTCTGGCCCCAAATGGGTTGTGCTTCCTCAGGAGATACTGAGGATCTCCTCAGGGCTGGAAGCAAATTTCATCAGAGCTACCCAGCTTACACTCCTCAACAATGTCTACAGGCCTCCCATGGATAGTGGTGATGCCTGCATGTTGGAAAAGGTCACTACTGCATTAGTTATCACCCCTTTCGATGGGGCCGGAAAGCAAAGATAAGAGAACTGTTTGTCAGCGAACTTGACCAAGCGACAGTTGGACTGGACGTCATCTGTGTAAAGAATGAAGAGAAGGACGCAGCCTTGTTGAAGTGGGCGTCAGATAAGGTGTCACTGACCGGGAGTCTCTGTGACCTTTTGGTAAGAAAGTCCATTATCAACAAATTTAGTTGGGGGGAGCGGAGTTTCACAGTCAGAAAATGTTGCTGCAAGGTGTTCAGTGCAGAGGAGAAATCTGCAAACAGGAGTCAGGATGTAGTGTTTGATGTTTGTGGATGGGGTCTATGATAAATACCTTTGCATCATCCAACCCTCTATGCAAACCGGAGTGGGTCCATCAGTGAGTCTGTTGAGAGAGGATGACGCTGGGCTGCTGCCTGCAGCTTGGATTAGTTTGGGGGAAATGGCGGCAGGATTCACAGCTGCCATGTTCTTAATACTAGGCTGCCAAGCTGTACGGCGGTTCCCTTTCGTAAATGATTGATCTACCTTGTCTTACTGACAGACTACACGACTTTCAGCGCCGGCTGATCGCCGTGCCGTTCACACTACACAACTTGCCGTCTTGTGACGAGAGTCTTGAAGTCGTCGTGGCGTTCACACTACGTGACTGGTCGGTGACAGGAGGTCACACACTACACGAGCTGACAGCGGCTGTGTCACCCGATGCTGGTCTCCAAACCACGTTTTGTCAAGAAAACACAAGTGAAATGTGAAACGGGAAATGACGCGAACCTGCACACGAAACAGCTTCTCGTTATTATGAAGACAAAGAATCTGCAGGTAGCGGGATCGTTTCAGCTACAGAGAGCTGGAGGGGAGGAAAAAGTGTTCTGCAGTGAGAAGTAGCTGCCTGCTCTCATTGGCTGGATGCGGATGTCGAGTCGGCCGACTCTTCCAGATATTTGTTGTGCTAGATATCTGGCTGGCGCCGGCGATGTGTCAGAGATGTGTCGGGGAGCCGTTTTGATGCGTCGTTCAGTAGTTCACACATAACGTCTGGGGTCCGCCGATCGATCGTTGATTTACCCCTGATCACAGCCTGATGGTCGCCGAGCTCTCAGACCGGCAATCCAGGCTAAAAATTGTGTAGTGTGAACGAGGCTTTAGTCAAACTGACCTGCGGCTCCGTTGTAGATGAACGGTTTGTCGTGAGGAAATCCCAGACACTCGGCCAGTTCGTGATGATCGCTGTGGGCCGCTTTCAGCTGCTCAACATCCCGATGCTGCCCCTCCCTTCCTGATTCACACACACACAACATACATGTCATGAGTTTAATTTAACTAGTTAACATAATAAACTACCAGAATGAGAGAATCCACACACAGAAGTTAATTTAATTTAAAGATGAGTGTGTGTGTTGTGAGTTTACTGTAGATGAGCAGGAATCGGCTCAGGGAGCCTTTGTAGACCACCACCAGACAGTCAGAGCAGGTCTCGTAGAGATCCACTTTGCCGGAGTCATCGTACGGACGAACAACTCCGTCCTTCTCCACCGCTAACACACACACACACACACACACACACACACACACACACACAAAACAAGTCATCACTATCAGGAAGAACAACAACAGTAAATCAGTAACATCAACATACTTCACTTTATTACAGTAAACCACACTCTGGCTCTCTCTGCGTCGCTGAAAACTGCCCACACTGCAGTTCATCGCAGCAGAATGATTCAGTTTCTGTTGGAAATCTGAGCAAAGGCTCCACCAGTCGGTGTTCAGGCGGTTCAGGTCCTACTGGTTCCTGCCGGCCACATCCTCCTGCATGGTTGATAACATTACGGGAAGCCATTTTCGCTGTTGGAAACGTAGCTAGTTTGCAATACAATCAAAGACAACAAGGATGTTTGGCCAGCCAGAGGAGGAGGCTAGAAATCCGAGCTGAAGTGTGCTGGATGCAGGAAAAACTACTTGACAAACTCAGGCTGCATCCACACTACTACGTTTTTGTTTTAAAAACAAAAGCGATCTCCAACCACACCAGAGGTTTAGCTGCGTATCATAACTGATCTGCGTTTGTTAGTCTGGACCATCAATATTGCAGACACAGAGGTATTTATTGCTTCACTCGACTGCATTTACCATCGACACTGACTGGACATCCACATAAAATACTCTGATCGGGTTTATGTTAGGTTTGGGCCCCTTACAAGTACAGAAAGACAAACGTGTGTGTGTTGATGTGACTCACTGCCAACGCCCGTGTACAGTGTGTGGTGGTCAGAGTCGGACGGGTCAGAGGGCATCGACAAGTTGAAAAAGTACTTAGAGCACGTCTTATCACTGAAAATGACACAACACAAAGCAGTTAGAGAACATGAAGACACAACAACCTGCTGAGTCTACGACCGTCAGACACATCGTCCCGCTGTTCATGGCTGGGACTCTTACATCCAGTTTGTCCAGTTTATCACAAAAGTGAGTATAACCCTCCCATTTTAGTAAATATTTGATTATATATCTTATCATGTGACGACACTGAAGAAATGACACTTTGCTCCAGTGTAAAGTGGTGAGTGTAACAGTGTAAATCTGCTGTCCCCTCAAAATAACACATCACACAGCCGTTAATGTCTAAACTGCTGGAAACAAAAGTGAGGACACCTCTAAGTGAAAATGTCCACATGGAGCCCAATTAGCCATTTTCCCTCCCTGATGTCATGTGACTCATTAGTGTTACAAAAGGTGTGAATGGGAAGCAGGTGTGTTAAATTTGGTGTTATCGCTCTCACACTCCCTCATACTGGTCACTGGAAGTTCAACATGGCACCTCATGGCAAAGAACTCTCTGAGGATCTGAAACAAAGAACGGTTGCTCTACATAAAGATGGTCGAGGCTGTAAGAAGACTGCCAAGACCCTGAAACTGAGCTGCAGCACGGTGGCCAAGACCATACAGCGGTTCACCAGGACAGGTTCCACTCAGAACAGGCCTCGCCATGGTCGACCACAGAAGTTGAGTGCACGTGCTCAGCGTCATATCCAGAGGTCGTCTATGGGAAATAGATGTGTGAGTGCTGTTAGCATTGCTGCAGAGGTTGAAGGGGTGGGGGGGTCAGCCTGTCAGGGCTCAGGCCGTACAACATGTACTGTGACATACTGAAGCAGAGCAGGATCCCCTTCCTTCAGAGACTGGGCCGCAGGGCAGGATTCCAACATGATAACGACCCCAAACACACCTCCAAGATGACTGCCGCCTCGCTAAAGAAGCTGAGGGTAAAGGTGACGGACTGGCCGAGCATGTCTCCAGACCTGAACCCTACTGACCATCTGTGGGGCTCCTCAAACGGAAGGTGGAGGAGCGCAAGGTCTCTAACATCCACCAGCTCCGTGATGTCGTCATGGAGGAGTGGCAACCTGTGAAGCTCTGCTGAACTCCAGGCCCAAGAGGGTTAAGGCAGTGCTGGAAAATAATGGTGACCACACAAAATACTGACACTTTGGGTCCAATTTGGACATTTTCACTTAGGGGTGTCCTCACTTTTGTTGCCAGCGGTTTAGACATTAATGGCTGTGTGATGTATTTTGAGGGGACAGAAGATTTACACTGTTCTACAAGCTGCACGCTCACTACTTTACACTGTTATACAAGCTGCACCTACGCTCACTACTTTACACTTTTATACAAGCTGCACGCTCACTACTTTACACTGTTCTACAAGCTGCACGCTCACTACTTTACACTTTTATACAAGCTGCACGCTCACTACTTTACACTGTTATACAAGCTGTACGCTCACTACTTTACACTGTTATATAAGCTGCACGCTCACTACTTTACACTGTTATACAAGCTGCACGCTCACTACTTTACACTGTTACACAAGCTGCACGCTCACTACTTTACACTTTTATACAAGCTGCTCGCTCACTACTTTACACCGTTATACAAGCTGCACGCTCACTACTTTACACCGTTATACAAGCTGCACGCTCACTACTTTACACCGTTATACAAGCTGCACGCTCACTACTTTACACTGTTATACAAGCTGCATGCTCACTACTTTACACTTTTATACAAGCTGCTCGCTCACTACTTTACACTGTTATACAAGCTGCACGCTCACTACTTTACACTGTTATACAAGCTGCACCTACGCTCACTACTTTACACTGTTATACAAGCTGCACGCTCACTACTTTACACTGTTATACAAGCTGTACGCGCACTACTTTACACTGTTATACAAGCTGCACGCTCACTACTTTACACTGTTATACAAGCTGCACCTACGCTCACTACTTTACACTGTTATACAAGCTGCACCTACGCTCACTACTTTACACTGTTCTACAAGCTGCACCTACGCTCACTACTTTACACTGTTATACAAGCTGCACCTACGCTCACTACTTTACACTGTTATACAAGCTGCACCTACGCTCACTACTTTACACTGTTATACAAGCTGCACCCTCACTACTTTACACTGTTATACAAGCTGCACCTACGCTCACTACTTTACACTGTTATACAAGCTGCACGCTCACTACTTTACACTGTTATACAAGCTGCACCTACGCTCACTACTTTACACTGTTATACAAGCTGCACGCTCACTACTTTACACTGTTATACAAGCTGCATGCTCACTACTTTACACTGTTATACAAGCTAAGCTGTACGCTCACTACTTTACACTGTTATACAAGCTGCACGCTCACTACTTTACACTGTTATACAAGCTGTACGCGCACTACTTTACACTGTTATACAAGCTGCACGCTCACTACTTTACACTGTTATACAAGCTGCACCTACGCTCACTACTTTACACTGTTCTACAAGCTGCACCTACGCTCACTACTTTACACTGTTATACAAGCTGCACCTACGCTCACTACTTTACACTGTTATACAAGCTGCACGCTCACTACTTTACACTGTTATACAAGCTGCATGCCCACTACTTTACACTGTTATACAAGCTGTACGCTCACTACTTTACACTGTTATATAAGCTAACGCTCACTACTTTACACTGTTATACAAGCTGCACCTACGCTCACTACTTTACACTGTTATACAAGCTGCACGCTCACTACTTTACACTGTTATACAAGCTGTACGCTCACTACTTTACACTGTTATACAAGCTGTACGTACGCTCACTACTTTACACTGTTATACAAGCTGCTCGCTCACTACTTTACACTGTTATACAAGCTGTACGCTCACTACTTTACACAGTTATACAAGCTGCACGCTCACTACTTTACACTGTTATACAAGCTGCACCCTCACTACTTTACACTGTTATACAAGCTGCACCCTCACTACTTTACACTGTTATACAAGCTGCACCTACGCTCACTACTTTACACTTTTATACAAGCTGCACGCTCACTACTTTACACTGTTATACAAGCTGCTCGCTCACTACTTTACACTGTTATACAAGCTGCACCCTCACTACTTTACACTGTTGTACAAGCTGCACCTACGCTCACTACTTTACACTGTTATACAAGCTGTACGCTCGCTACTTTACACAGTTATACAAGCTGCACGCTCACTACTTTACACTGTTATACAAGCTGCTCGCTCACTACTTTACACTGTTATACAAGCTGCACCTACGCTCACTACTTTACACTGTTATACAAGCTGCACCTACGCTCACTACTTTACACTGTTATACAAGCTGCACCTACGCTCACTACTTTACACTGTTATACAAGCTGCACGCTCACTACTTTACACTGTTATACAAGCTAAGCTGTACGCTCACTACTTTACACTGTTATACAAGCTGCACGCTCACTACTTTACACTGTTATACAAGCTGCTCGCTCACTACTTTACACTGTTATACAAGCTGCACCTACGCTCACTACTTTACACTGTTCTACAAGCTGCTCGCTCACTACTTTACACTGTTATACAAGCTGCACACTCACTACTTTACACTGTTATACAAGCTTTACGCTCACTACTTTACACTGTTATACAAGCTGCACGCTCACTACTTTACACTGTTATACAAGCTGCTCGCTCACTACTTTACACTGTTACACAAGCTAAGCTGTACGCTCACTACTTTACACTGTTATACAAGCTGTACGCTCACTACTTTACACTGTTATACAAGCTGCACGCTCACTACTTTACACTGTTATACAAGCTGTACGCTCACTACTTTACACTGTTATACAAGCTGTACGTACGCTCACTACTTTACACTGTTATACAAGCTGCTCGCTCACTACTTTACACTGTTATACAAGCTGTACGCTCACTACTTTACACAGTTATACAAGCTGCACGCTCACTACTTTACACTGTTATACAAGCTGCACCCTCACTACTTTACACTGTTATACAAGCTGCACCCTCACTACTTTACACTGTTATACAAGCTGCACCTACGCTCACTACTTTACACTGTTATACAAGCTGCACGCTCACTACTTTACACTGTTATACAAGCTAAGCTGTACGCTCACTACTTTACACTGTTATACAAGCTGCTCGCTCACTACTTTACACTGTTATACAAGCTGCACCCTCACTACTTTACACTGTTGTACAAGCTGCACCTACGCTCACTACTTTACACTGTTATACAAGCTGTACGCTCGCTACTTTACACAGTTATACAAGCTGCACGCTCACTACTTTACACTGTTATACAAGCTGCTCGCTCACTACTTTACACTGTTATACAAGCTGCACCTACGCTCACTACTTTACACTGTTATACAAGCTGCACCTACGCTCACTACTTTACACTGTTATACAAGCTGCACCTACGCTCACTACTTTACACTGTTATACAAGCTGCACCTACGCTCACTACTTTACACTGTTCTACAAGCTGCACCTACGCTCACTACTTTACACTGTTATACAAGCTGCACCTACGCTCACTACTTTACACTGTTATACAAGCTGCACCTACGCTCACTACTTTACACTGTTATACAAGCTGCACCCTCACTACTTTACACTGTTATACAAGCTGCACCTACGCTCACTACTTTACACTGTTATACAAGCTGCACGCTCACTACTTTACACTGTTATACAAGCTGCACCTACGCTCACTACTTTACACTGTTATACAAGCTGCACGCTCACTACTTTACACTGTTATACAAGCTGCATGCTCACTACTTTACACTGTTATACAAGCTAAGCTGTACGCTCACTACTTTACACTGTTATACAAGCTGCACGCTCACTACTTTACACTGTTATACAAGCTGTACGCGCACTACTTTACACTGTTATACAAGCTGCACGCTCACTACTTTACACTGTTATACAAGCTGCACCTACGCTCACTACTTTACACTGTTCTACAAGCTGCACCTACGCTCACTACTTTACACTGTTATACAAGCTGCACCTACGCTCACTACTTTACACTGTTATACAAGCTGCACGCTCACTACTTTACACTGTTATACAAGCTGCATGCCCACTACTTTACACTGTTATACAAGCTGTACGCTCACTACTTTACACTGTTATATAAGCTAACGCTCACTACTTTACACTGTTATACAAGCTGCACCTACGCTCACTACTTTACACTGTTATACAAGCTGCACGCTCACTACTTTACACTGTTATACAAGCTGTACGCTCACTACTTTACACTGTTATACAAGCTGTACGTACGCTCACTACTTTACACTGTTATACAAGCTGCTCGCTCACTACTTTACACTGTTATACAAGCTGTACGCTCACTACTTTACACAGTTATACAAGCTGCACGCTCACTACTTTACACTGTTATACAAGCTGCACCCTCACTACTTTACACTGTTATACAAGCTGCACCCTCACTACTTTACACTGTTATACAAGCTGCACCTACGCTCACTACTTTACACTGTTATACAAGCTGCACGCTCACTACTTTACACTGTTATACAAGCTGCTCGCTCACTACTTTACACTGTTATACAAGCTGCACCCTCACTACTTTACACTGTTGTACAAGCTGCACCTACGCTCACTACTTTACACTGTTATACAAGCTGTACGCTCGCTACTTTACACAGTTATACAAGCTGCACGCTCACTACTTTACACTGTTATACAAGCTGCTCGCTCACTACTTTACACTGTTATACAAGCTGCACCTACGCTCACTACTTTACACTGTTATACAAGCTGCACCTACGCTCACTACTTTACACTGTTATACAAGCTGCACCTACGCTCACTACTTTACACTGTTATACAAGCTGCACGCTCACTACTTTACACTGTTATACAAGCTAAGCTGTACGCTCACTACTTTACACTGTTATACAAGCTGCACGCTCACTACTTTACACTGTTATACAAGCTGCTCGCTCACTACTTTACACTGTTATACAAGCTGCACCTACGCTCACTACTTTACACTGTTCTACAAGCTGCTCGCTCACTACTTTACACTGTTATACAAGCTGCACACTCACTACTTTACACTGTTATACAAGCTTTACGCTCACTACTTTACACTGTTATACAAGCTGCACGCTCACTACTTTACACTGTTATACAAGCTGCTCGCTCACTACTTTACACTGTTACACAAGCTAAGCTGTACGCTCACTACTTTACACTGTTATACAAGCTGTACGCTCACTACTTTACACTGTTATACAAGCTGCACGCTCACTACTTTACACTGTTATACAAGCTGTACGCTCACTACTTTACACTGTTATACAAGCTGTACGTACGCTCACTACTTTACACTGTTATACAAGCTGTACGTACGCTCACTACTTTACACTGTTATACAAGCTGTACGCTCACTACTTTACACAGTTATACAAGCTGCACGCTCACTACTTTACACTGTTATACAAGCTGCACCCTCACTACTTTACACTGTTATACAAGCTGCACCCTCACTACTTTACACTGTTATACAAGCTGCACCTACGCTCACTACTTTACACTGTTATACAAGCTGCACGCTCACTACTTTACACTGTTATACAAGCTAAGCTGTACGCTCACTACTTTACACTGTTATACAAGCTGCTCGCTCACTACTTTACACTGTTATACAAGCTGCACCCTCACTACTTTACACTGTTGTACAAGCTGCACCTACGCTCACTACTTTACACTGTTATACAAGCTGTACGCTCGCTACTTTACACAGTTATACAAGCTGCACGCTCACTACTTTACACTGTTATACAAGCTGCTCGCTCACTACTTTACACTGTTATACAAGCTGCACCTACGCTCACTACTTTACACTGTTATACAAGCTGCACCTACGCTCACTACTTTACACTGTTATACAAGCTGCACCTACGCTCACTACTTTACACTGTTATACAAGCTGCACGCTCACTACTTTACACTGTTATACAAGCTAAGCTGTACGCTCACTACTTTACACTGTTATACAAGCTGCACGCTCACTACTTTACACTGTTATACAAGCTGCTCGCTCACTACTTTACACTGTTATACAAGCTGCTCGCTCACTACTTTACACTGTTATACAAGCTGCACGCTCACTACTTTACACTGTTATACAAGCTGCTCGCTCACTACTTTACACTGTTATACAAGCTGCACACTCACTACTTTACACTGTCATACAAGCTGTACGCTCACTACTTTACACTGTTATACAAGCTGCACGCTCACTACTTTACACTGTTATACAAGCTGCTCGCTCACTACTTTACACTGTTACACAAGCTAAGCTGTACGCTCACTACTTTACACTGTTATACAAGCTGTACGCTCACTACTTTACACTGTTATACAAGCTGCACGCTCACTACTTTACACTGTTATACAAGCTGCACGCTCACTACTTTACACTGTTATACATGCTGAACGCTCACTACTTTACACTGTTATACAAGCTGCACGCTCACTACTTTACACTGTTATACAAGCTGCTCGCTCACTACTTTACACTGTTATACAAGCTGCACGCACACTACTTTACACTGTTATACAAGCTGCACGCTCACTACTTTACACTGGAGCAAAGTGTCATTTCTTCAGCGTTGAAACATGAAAAGATATCATCAGATATTTACAGAAATGTGAGGGGTGGACTCATTTATGTGAGATCCTGTATATATGAACTCCTGTTTTCAACTAACCGAAGACAAACAAGAGTAATATTGAGCCCAACCACAGGTGTCATTTTCACTGGGGACGCTGGGGACATGTTCCCACCACATTTTGAAATGGCTGATTTTTCCCCATCACTTTCTGAAAGCATTTGTTAAAAACATTCTGAAAAATTGCACCAACAAATATTAACTAATAAATTAAAATGCTATTAAAACATGCAATTTAAATATAGAAGAAACAAATGTGCATAGTTCAAAAAAGTAACAGGCTGCTGATAACTGCATTATATTCTGTTATATTTTTTTATTTATGAATGTCCACCTGCCCGCTGAATTTTTTGTTTCTCTTTTTCTAAATGAAATGGTACAGAAATGAAGTGTTTAATGCTCAAAATCTTAGAGGGGAGGACCCACAGACCCATACATTTCATTTTTCTTCTAAGTAGTTTTGAGCATCGTCAGGTCTTGACACAAGTGTATCATCATGCCCCTAATCTGAGCCCTTAGGTTCCAACCACTTTTCAACACAAAGTGACGCCCTTGAACCCAACATCTCTGAAGATCATATCTCATGTCATTATCTGAGGCCACTTCTTCCAAGAAACCACTTTCACATCTGTACGCTAAGTATGAATGCACCGCCAGCAGCTGACTGATTTACACCACTATTTAAATCATTTCTTATGAAAGCACTCACGGGAACATGTTCCTCTCGTTGGCCATGATGGTTTTGTTGTCAGGGAGGAGTTGAAGCTTGACATGGGAGCTGGAGAGGTTCACCAGGAGGTCCCAGCCGTGCTGACTATCAGAGACGGACCAGACCAGGACCCAGTCCCCGAAAACCTGCAGGAGGACAGGTCGGAGTCAGAGCTAAAGCTAAAGCTACCACTGAGGACATCTGTCTGAAATAAAATAAAGCTCAGTACAGAAATGATCACGACTGTATAGGACAGAATCCTTGGGTATATGAACAACCAGGTTCTTATGTTCCATATTGATTATAACCAGGATCAGACTCACACTAGGGAGCATGTAAACAAACCCCCTAACAGTCCTGGCTGACACAGCTAAGAGTAGAGGGTCAATAATGTCAAATGAAACGAACTCAAGTATTTGGCTGTGAAAAAGTCAGTCCCCCCAGGAGTGATGAATGTCTGGTCTCAGGCACCAAGCTGACCAGAACCAGACTCACCTTGTGCAGGTCTTTAGTTGGCAGCCTTTTGCTCAGCCCGTCACAGTCTTCAGGGCCCGGCTGTGCGTTGGTGCCGATCGCCGCCACCACCACCAGCAGCAGCAGCACCGCTCGCTTCACAAAAATCATCCTGCTCTGAAACAAAAACCAAACAGGACAGAAGATCAAGAGAAGGGAAGCAGGTTGTTTTATAATGGCTCCCAGCCGGCCCCCGGCCTGCCCGTAATCAGTCCAAAGTGTGTGTGCTCAGTGTGTTATCGAGCTCGGATTGACCCTTTGTTTCCCTTCCAGGTCTGTTTGTTTTCAGTTTCCTGTTTATTTGTGTAAGAAGGTTCAGAGAAGACGGGATCACTGCAGTCCATGAATCCATGTTTCAGCTCGTACAAAGTGCAGCAGCCAGAGTCAAAGACCAAAACCAGTCAAAGAGACCAGCATCACACTCAGTTCAGCATGTTTGCATCAGCTTCCTGTGTCTGTTAGAACCCATTTTAAAACGTTATGACCAGTTGCCTTTATAATTTTGTTCAGTGTATATACAGTATGTATGTATGGACATCGTGAAGCTCTGAGTAACTGAAGATACTCCCACCTGACAGAAAGAGTATACAGGTCTTTATGTTCCAGATTATTTCCATACATACACATCTCCTGCTTTCCTACACAGCATGATTACTTTTATTAAAGCACAGACATGCTTGTTGATTGACAGATCATCACTGCAGCTGTTTGGGTCTCTTTATGTCGACAGCATTTTAGATGCATCAAAATGAATCATGCACGTTGAGTTCAGGTTTTCTGTGGGTCTGTTTCAGATGTGACCCCTAAAGACCTCTAGGCAGCAGCTGGGAGCAAACAGGGAGAGACTGGAGGAGCCAAACTATTCACAGTCTGAACACTCACACTCAAAGATGTGGCATATCAAGATGCTGATCAGACCGCATGGGTATTGTACAGGTGTGCCTTAGGCTGGCCACAATAAAAGGCCTCTCGAAAATGTGCAGTTTCACTGTATTGGGGGGTCCAGAAACCAGTCAGTTTCTGGTGTGACCACCATTTGCCTCACGCAATGCAACACATCTCCTTCACATAGCGTTGATCAGGTTGTTGGTCCACTCCTCTCCAATGGCTGTGCGAAGTAGCAGTCAGGTCGAGACCCCGATGAGGACGACGAGCATGCAGATGAGCTTCCCTGAGACGGTTCCTGACAGTTTGTGCGGAAATTCTTTGGTTATGCAAACCGATTGTTGCAGCAGCTGTCTGGGTGGCTGGTCTCAGACCATCTTGGAGGTTAAGATGCTGGATGTGGAGGTCCTGGGCTGGTGTGGTTACACATGATCTGCGGTTGTGAGTCCGGTTGGATGAACCGCCAAATTCTCTGAAACACCTTTGGAGACGGCTTAGGGTAGAGAAATGAACATTCGATTCACGGGCAACAGCTCTGGTGGACATTCCTGCAGTCAGCATGCCAACTGTACGCTCCCTCAAAACTTGCTACATCTATGGCATTGTGCTGTGTGATGGAACTGCACATTTTGGAGTGGCCTTTTATTGTGGCCAGCCTAAGGCCTTTTATTGTGGCCAGCCTAATGCACACCTGTGCAATCCCCATGCTGTCTGATCAGCATCTTGATATGCCACACCTGTGAGGTGGATGGATTATCTCGGCAAAGGAGGAGCGCTCACTAACACAGATTTTGACAGATTTGTGAACAATATTTGAGAGAAATAGGGCTTTTGTGTACATAGAGAAAGTCTTAGATCTTTGAGTTCAGCTCGTGATGAATGGGGGCAAAAACAAAATAATATATAATAATAATAATAAGCTTTATTTATATAGCACTTATCAAACAAAGTACAAAGTGCTTCTCAACAAATCACACATAAAATACAAAAACAAATAACCACGTGGGTAAAAGATACAGGGGGATAAAATACAGAATATAAGAACAAGGATCACAATAGAGTATAACAAATATGTTCAGTAGGAGGTAAGGAAGATAAGACAAGCAAACAAAGTGATAAGAACAGTATGGCAGGAATAGTAAAACGAGTGGCAGCTCAGATAAAATCTGGATATGCTTTCCAGTAAAAGTAAGTTTCTAAAAGAGATTTGAAAGAAGAAGCCGGCCCTGCCAGCCTAATTTCCTCAGGCAAGTCGTTCCAGAGCCTGGGGGCCCTGACAGCAAATGCTCGGTCACCTTTTGTTCTTAGTCTGGCTCCAGGAAAAGACAAGAGGCCCTTGCCAGAAGATCTTAGACCACGGGAGGGCTCATAAGGAGTTAAAATATCTAAAATATAATCAGGAGCCAAGCCATGAATAGCCTTAAAAGTAATGAGTAAAATCTTAAATTTAAATCTTAAATCAATTCAAAAACAAACAGGGAGCCAGTGCAATGATGCTAAAACAGGGTGATATGATCATATTTTCTTGTCCTAGTTAGGAGCCCAGCAGCTGAGTTCTCCACAGCCATCATCCAGTCTGTCCTCTGCACCTTCATCACTGTCTGGTTTGGATCTGACACCAAAAAGGACAGGAGCAAACTACAACGGACAGTCAGGACTGCAGAAAAGATCATCGGTGCCAACCTGCCCTCCATTCAGGACTTATACATTTCCAGAGTCAGGAAACGGGCAGGAAACATCACTGCAGATCCATCTCACCCCGGACACAACCTGTTCCAGCTCCTCCCCTCTGGTAGGCGCTACAGAGCACTGTACGCCAAAACCAACAGACTCAGGAACAGTTTCTTCCCACAAGCCAACTCTGATGAACAGCTGATTTCTGACTCACTGTGTCAGGAACAATTCTTTCTCAACAACACTTATTATTTATTCACCATTCAGTGCTGTTCATGCTGTCATATTGTAGATACTGTATACCTAATCCACCTACCTCAAGTCATTACTCCTGCACAAAATACGTCCTTTGTACTCTGCTTCATTGCACTGTGTACATGTGTACATGTATGCATGTATATGTACTTGTATATCACATGCACCTCCGACATGTACATACTCCTGCATCCGTTGCACTCTGATCACTGCACTATTTGTCAATATATCTTTATAGTTTTTGTTCATAGTGTGTATATTTGTGTTGTCTACTCTGAGGTCTGTCTGATTTTATTTTATTATTGTGATTTTGTATTTTTGTATGAGTAAGCACATTGTGATCAATGTACAATCCTGAGTCAAATTCCTCGTATGTGTCCACACACCTGGCAAATAAAGGTGATTCTGATACGTCATCGTCAGGCTAAGCCAATCAGAGGCAGATGAAGGCGGGTCACGCCTCCACTTCCGGGTTACAGGCAACGGAGCCGTGGAAACAAAACAGAGAAACGAGAATCATCTAAAGTCCGTTATTGTTCTTCTGTCCTCCGCTTCGACTCTGTTTCATGAGCCAGCGGGTAAGTGAAGCTGTCGAGGAGACATTTGGACATTTAGAGAAAACAATACCAGAGATGGACCGAGGAGGGAGCTGTTTTACCACCGCGGCTAACATGCTAACCTTTTCTGTTACGTGCCACAGAAGACACAACCAAAGTGACCCACCAGAGCCTGGATGTGTGGATAAACATTGTGGAAACTTTCTGGATGTTTCACCTGTCATCTCCCGTTAGCTTAGTTAGCTTTTCATTTGTTTAAAATGTCTAAAGTCCAGATGCTGAGAGGTTTTATCAACCAGCGACTAACTGCGGCTGCTGAAGAGATATTTGGGCTGTTTGAAAGAACGATATCAGAGTACGAGGAGGAACTCTGTCGTTCCAAAGAGGAGAACCAGAGACACAGGAAACTACTGGACGCTGTTTTCCAGCCTGAAGTCCGGTTACACAGAGCAGGTTTGTCCTCTTTACTGCTTATTCTCACTGCAGACTGCTGCAAACCTGCTGCCACTGAAAGATTATTGTGTCCATATTCTGAGCTTTACGGTAAAGACAGTGGACCTGTTCAACAGCTCGAGGTCAGTGAGGAGGACATTTCAGGTTTCTTACTTTAAACAAACAGGTTTACCATCTAATAACATTAACCTGTTTATCATTATAAACACACTATATTTGGGGTTTGGACTGTTGATTAGACAACACAAGCCTAAGAAAGAAACCAAAACAAAGAAGTTCAGAAATAAAGTTATGTGTAATAATGTGAAATGACACAGGGAAAAAGTATTGAACACACGAAGAAAGGGAGGTGCAAAAAGGCATGGAAAGCTAAGACAACAGCTGAAAACTATCAGTAATTTGTTTTGGTTTCTTTGTATGTATGGATGGATTACTTGGGTTTTTACCAACATCTGGTGAAAATTTTATGTCAATAGTTCCTTTGGAAATATATTTACTGAGAAAAATGGTGACGTGTTCAATACTTATTTCACCCGCTGTATACCCCCTTAAAGAAATAACAAAAATTACAGCCTTGATCACAGTCATTTTATGTTGAAATTCAAAGCGCACAATATGCTTATAGCTTCTTTTAGTTTGAATGATTTCCAAATATGTTTCAGAAAATACAATATTTCTCCCCATCTTTAAAAAGTAGTGGTATCAGCGGTGTGTTTCACAACACTGGTGTTGTGCTGAGTTGTGCTTGAACCTCGCGTGACGTTTGAATCCTTTATCACAATTGATGAACCACACAAAGAATAGATTTTATTAGAAAAGAATTATTGTTTTTTAAAAAGAACCTAGAATAGATCTATGAGGAACCGCGACATGCATGCACTTTTTGGCAAGTCAGTGAGTATGAGCAGAGAGTCAAGGCTCAATAATAAGCCTCAGTTTAGCTGGAAATGTACAGTGAAAGTTAGAGCAGTGAATAGAGGTCAAAGCAGGACTAACAAAAAACACAACTGCTGGTTTCACACAAGACTGTGGATTGTGTCGCAGTTTCGGTCTTGGCTTCAGCACCGTTACGCCCTAATGTGCAAGTATTTCATTATTCTCCCCAGACGTCCAGCAGCTGTTGGTGAGTAAAGAAGAGGTTCCCCCTGAGCAGCAGCAGTGGAGCCCCAGTCTGGACCAGGAGGACCCACCAGAGCCCCCACACATTAAAGACGAGTGGAGCCCCAGTCTGGACCAGGAGGACCCACTAGAGACCCCACATATTGCAGGAGGAGAACAGGAGGAACTCTGGACCAGTCAGAAGGGAGAGCAGCTTCCAGGGCTGGAGGAGGCTGATATCACCAAGTTCCGAATCTGGGCCTCATCACAGGGTAAGATTCTACCTGAGCTGGACCACATTTTAATGTTTGTAAAACCTTTACTTTATTTATGAAAATAAAAAATGGGTAATTGAACTGATTTTGTTACAGCAAACTTATAACTTTGAACTTACTGTTCTGCACGAGTGTTTCTGATTATTGACTTGGTTGCACTTAGCATTAATAAATTAGAGACCAATGTAGAGAAATTTTCTGCAGAAGGATTTAAAGAATGAAAACAACACACAAACATGAAATAGCTGTACCTGGAATTAATATTT